AACAGACAGACAAGCCAAATTTATATATAGATAGATATATTTGTTGTTCAACGAATTTTGACTACTGAGGATCGTCATAAGACGTGAAACATTGTGTTTAGTATAATTCTTTTTTAATTAAAAGTTTAAAAACTGAAATATATTTTCAAAAAAAAATTGGTTTCGCGGACATTCTTTTCAAAGTTTCAAAAATATTTTTGATTTTTTTTTATCACATTTTATTTTATTTATGCCTTATATCAGAACAAAATAAAATTTTGTTTAGAACATTAATAATCCCTGTTTGTATACTTATATATTAGCTAAAAACTTAGTCAATAGCTTGTAATTTTGTATAGCTTATAACATTTACACATAAACCTAACAATTTGGTAATTAACAATTTAGTAGCTTAAAGGTGTAGAAACTTACAATTTTGTAGTAGATAATTTGATAAGAAATCATGGTCCATATGTAATCTATCAACCTTGTAACGAACAATATAACAAGACCTCTAAAAGTCTACGTCATAAAGTCCTGACAGCTTTTATAACTAAATGGACGTCACATTTTAACATAAAATAAAAAATGCTATATTAGGCTCATTATATACTTGTTGCTATATCAGTACATATATTTTTAGCGTAGAAAAGTCTCTAATGTTTTAATAAATGTTTAATTATTTGCCTGTAAAACCCCTGGTCTATGTTTTAATAAATGTTTAATTATTTACCTGTAAAACCCCTGGTCTATGAATTATAAATGAGGAAAGGACCAACCATCAAGTATTGGGTTTTAGTGTTGAACTGCAAGCATTGGTATGAGGGGTTTAATACTTATACTAGGTTTGTGGGCTAAACATATTTTCTAATTAGATTATTATGAGGAAGTGATGACGAAGTTTCAAGTTTCAAGATTGGCATGTCTAATTCTTAAAAGTATCCTTACCCTTTAAAGCTTTGCCAGTGTCCAAATTTAAGGAATTTAAGCCGGTCTCTAATCCCCCAAAAACCGGTTTCAATTGAGCGCCGGCTTGAATCTTGAAATATTTAACACTATCTTAAGTGGAACCAACCATATTTGAGCCGCGACTTAAATTTAAACCGCGGCTCAAATTCTTTAAATTTGGCCTCAGATGAAGAATAAATGAGCTATCCATGATATTCTCTTTAAACAAATTTAAATCTTATTTTCGGTTTCTCTATAAAAGTGACATGCGGATTTCAACCTCAGAAACAATGGCGGACAATTGTCAGAATTAAACACTTTTTACAGAGCTAGAAAAACGATTTTATCTTCCACATTATTGAGCAGATAAAAGTTTAAATGGAATCGTACGTTGTGAATAAATCCGCAACTGACTCTTTTAGAACTTTCACGATAAACAAAAAAAGTTTCCGCTATGACAGTACGGATTTTTTATTGATTAATGAGACAAAGGCCTGTTTAAAGAGTATTGTTGTAAATCAGAAATGTCTTTAGATTTTTAAATTACATCAAAAGTAACTCTAAACAGAACTCTTCATGCAACGTTTCAAGGTTTAAGTTTTTACAAAAACAAAGCGCCCTGAGGTTTAATTAGTCTTAAATCAATTAAAAAATGTATTTTCTTGATAGTTGTTGCTTGTTTTCTGACGCCATCTTGTTTTGGGAAAAAGAAGAACTCAGCAGCTTGGTTTAGGAATACTGTACACACACAAGAATTGTACAGTACACACACAAGCATTGTACAGTACATGCCCACGTACATTTTACTGTACAAACACGTACATTGTACAGTAAAAACACGTACATTGTACAGTTCACACTTGCATATTGTAAAATACACAAACCTACATTGTAAGTACACACACGTACATAGTACAGTATACACACGTACATCGTACAGTACATAATCACGCGTATATAATAAGAAGACTTGTGGCCCATTTTCAAATGATTCTAATTCCCTAACCGACATAAAGAATTCCATGAGCATGACCTTATTACAACCATGCAATAAACCTTTACTTACACTAACGTGCTGAGAAATAAAAAAAACGAATCGGATATTTATAATAAATTTAAAGATCATTTTTATTCCTGGCCCTTTATAACCTTATAACAATAAAAAAGCTATAATCATGAATTTACATATGTATGGTGTATGTTTGAAATTACGCAAAAATGACCTCTCCGTGTAGTTTTTCATTTTAAAAGAGGTCGTTTAAGTCACATTTTTGCGTTCAATAATTTTGTTCGGCGCAAAACTGTTTCTAATTTTCAAAAACCTATCTGTTAACTTTAAACAAATAATAATTCTTATTATTCTATATTATATTGCAGAGAGAAAACAACTTAACAATACTTAGAGTCTTAGAGATCATAATATTGAATACTTTTTTAGTTTACTATTTTGTTCATTTTTCTGTTTTTTATATTCCACATTTTCAAGATAAATTCATAGAAAAAAGTCCTAACAGAACACTCTAAATTTCAAATTAAAAAAATTGTCGGAAGATAAAAATTGGGAAAATGTTCTTCTGAATAGAGACCAGGAGACAGTTCATTTCTTAGATAAAATATACAACGCACTAAATAAACCTGTATCCGAATATACTCTGGGAATTTCTATAGATTTAACAAAAGCTTTTGATACCTGTGATGTGGAAACTTCTACTGAGCAAGCTTGAAAACTATGGATTTCGTGGGACTTCTAACTTATGGTTCAAAAATTATTCAAATGGAGGAAAACAATTTACTTCACTTGAAGAAATCTCTTGTGGTGTACCACAGGGGTCGATATTAGAACCAATTTTATTTCTAATCCTTATCAATGACCTTCCTAAAGCATCGACAATTTTTACAATTCTTTTTGCCGTTGATACAACACTGCTACTTTCTTCAAAAAACTTACACGACTTAAATGGTTTGGCAAACTTATATAATTTGGCAAAATTTGAGCTCTTAATAAAAGAAGATTGGTTTAAAGCAAACAAACTGACTTTAAATGCGTCTAAAATTAAGTATATTCTTCTTCAAAAAGAAAAAAAGAAGATGTAAATATCACCTCTCTTAAACTTCTAATAGATATAGAAAGAGTAGGAACTGGATGTAAAAATGAATCTTTTAAGTTTGTAGGTGTTTATTTAGACGAAAATCTGAACTGGAACTATCATCTTAAGTCAGTTAAACACAAAACATCCAGTGCAGTTTTTGTAATTTCAAGTGTAAAAAAAATTCTTCGTCATAAAATAAAATTTATAATTCTCTTAGGGTATTTTGAAATAGATTCTTTCATTCCTTATTTTACATTATTTATTACTTTTTCATTTTTAATATTTGTAAACGTGTACTGCTATACTATAGAGCTGATACAGAATCTGATTGTTTATCAAGGAAATATAAATAATAAATATTTATTATCATTATTAATTTTATAAATTTTTGCGCATTTTTAGTAAAAAAATAAAGAAATCAGTATAACAAAAAAAATTTATTAAAATACAAAATTCACAAAGATTTATTTACTGTAAATAGACAGAAGGAGGAGTTTAAATTCATGCAACATTACTGCTACGACTTTGTAACCTCGTAGCTCCTCTAGTTATAATTGTTTGCAATAGTATGAGAAGAGCAAATTTATCCTGTTTATATATTAGAAATTTAAATCATTTTGGTTCCTCTCTTTAGTATAATAGGAATTATAAATGTAAACTTGCCTGCAATGTACTCAAATTTGATGTGAATTTGAAGAAATTTACTCAAATTGGACGTGAATTTGAAGCAATTTACTCAAGTTTGACGTGAGTTTGAAGTAATTTACTCAACTTGACGTAAGATTGAAGCAATTCACTCAAGTTTAACGTGACTTTGAAGCAATTTACTCAACTTGACGTAAGATTGAAGCAATTAACTCAAGTATAACGTGACTTTGAAGCAATTTACTCAAGTTTTACAAGCATTAAAAGCAATTTACTCAAGTCTGGGGTGAATTTGAAGCAATTTATTTAAGTCTGACGTGAAGGGAGGCACAGAATTTTTTTCGGGGGTTTAAATCACATAAATATGAATGAGAATGTGAACTTTTAAATCCAGATCTTTTCTGAAGAAAATCGAGTAATTTTAAACGATTTTTTTGTTTTTAATAGAAGCATATAGATATCACTCAAATTGATTAAAAGATTATAATTAGGAGGATAATGCATAATTTAATGAACAAATATCTGAGACGATATTAGAACTCAAAGTCGAACAAGTAACATCGTTTAAAATAGTCAACAAATAAATTATGTAAATCAACTCATAATAGTGATCCAGTCTGATATTTAAAAATGTTCTGTTTATTATTTAATTTTTACCAGATCCGATCAAGTTTTTCGTCATGATCATCCAAAGGTTTTTTTCAAATTTTAAATAACCTTTTTTATAATAATATATTTTTTTTGTAATCATGGTATAAAAAATCGTTTTGAAAAAGCTTAAAAAATACTGCTGCAAAAAAAAATATTAAAAATAACTGAAAAAAAACCAGGTCCTCTGTGAAAACCTGAACCAAACTATCTGTGTGTGTGCAAGTAAAAAACAAACTAGGCAAAAAGAAAAAAAAAGTTTATTTTAAAAATGTTGAAAATCTATACAAATCAGAATATTTTTTCGTTAACTTTATATAATTTTTATTACCTTAAATATAGACGGATTGGCTTTTCAGCTTCTCCCATCGTTGACAACACTGCAAGATATATCATATTTGTTTTCATTATTTTTCGTTGTTCATTTATAACTTTTTTTGTAGACAAACTGAGTTTAAGATGTATCCTATTGATTACACCCTCTAAACTGAGTTTAAGATATTCTTCTTCTTCTTCTTCTTCTTCTTTTGTTTCTTCTTCTTTCATTAGATTTAGAATTTCGTCTCTTTAAGAGACTGTCATCGTAATTTCAATAGACTTCAAGGGCAAAATCAAAAGGTTTCTTCTAAATCGTTGACAGTCCCTTTAATTCCCTATTATATGTGGACACCCTGTATGGTATCTAGGTGGCCTGAAGGAATAGTTCCCTATGAAATAGACGATGAAGCGAATGATTTAAGAATATTTGCTGTTAAATTATCAATGGCAAAGGTAAACTAAACCATGTAATGTGAAGAACTAGGCAAAATCCCTGGCATTACCCAAGAAAATAAGTCATAAATCTTGTGAATATGAGGTCAAGTCTAAGACGTTTTCATAAAAAAAACTTTTTTATGCATCTGCATTTTGAATATGGCCATCCAGGTGTTTTTAATATCAATTGCCCCTTTTTTTGAATGGATGTAAACATTCTTTGTTCCGATGCATTTTCTATGATAATGGGACTTTTTTTCGGGGACTTTTTTGTATAAATTCATACTGAAGCCAGAAAAAAAGTCCTAGAAAATAAAGTCTTGAATTGGTAGGACTTTATTTCCGGAGACTTTTTAATAAAAGGACTTTTTTGCCGCAGGACTTTTTTAGTGCGAAATATTAGGCCTTTTTTCCGGAAACTTTTTCCAAGAAATTTTTTGGCGGTTACCCTCCGGAATGTGGGTTTCTTATATATGCCTTCAAATTACCGTAGTAACAAAGAATTTCATTGAAATTACAATATATCAAACGAAACCAAAACTGCATGAACATTAAATATCAACATTATTTTTCATGGACAACATCAGAAAAGCTTTTAAAATGTGGGGACACATTTTTTTAACACATTTTTAATATCTTTTCGTGAATTGACAATCCTAAAGTCGTGTATCAATTATAATTTTAGCGGGGTTCTCTTTATGATTATTTTTGGAAATTTTATTTAAAGCTTTCTCTACAAGAATATATATTATATATTTCTATAAAATACAACTGTTGCGTAAATGTGAGCAAACCCCAAGAAATCAATAATCCCAGGTAGATTAAGTTAGGCAGACTGAAGAGGTGAGTATACTAAAGGTGAGGTCTGTTTACACTGCACAATTGCGGTGTTTTGACTAATCAAAGTCATAACTTGAGTCTAAAAGTCGTCTACCTAGTCCAGAATGTCATGGATATGACTGTAGTTCTAAACATCTATCTACAGATTGTAAACAAACTTCATTGTTTTCCTGGCATTGATTGACAGGGTAGAATCTTAGGAAGACATATTTTTTAAAAAACTAACTATTGTTAATTTGCCTAAGACCCCNAAGTATACACACCTTGGGTAGAATAAAGTCTAGAATTTTTAAAAATGAAAAGCCTCCATGGCAATTTGACAACACAGTAAAATAAAATAAAACACATGACTTCCATCAAGACAAGGTTGTAATGCAAGGAAAGTTAATTACAGTTGCGTATACTCTGCGTACATATTGAAACCAGTTCTGTCTGGCCGGAATTTTTTAAACAAGAATAGATGCATCAGTGTTCGTTTAGTATCCGAGGAGGTTAAAAACATTAGATTTTGATAATTATGATAATTCACATAATAGTTATCTATGACAAGAATATTTCATTGATTTTTTATGTGAAAGATGGATCCCATGTCAGGCTGTGACATCCGTCACATTACCGCCCAGTGACAGTATACTGCAGTACACCTCTGAAATAACTTTCCTTGCATTAAATCCTTGCATCAAGGAATAAATATCAGCAAGTTTAAAAAGAAAGGAATTCGCGCAGTGGTAAAACAGTGGATTGAGTGTCTTTTACTCTCAATAATCTCTTTTGTAAAGAAATAAGGATTACGTTTTTGTGATAAGCAATAACAACTTCTTTTACTTTTAAATAAATATTTTATTATTGTTGTTGTAGATCTCTAAATATATATTTTATTATTGTTGTTCTAGATCTCTAAAGTGTCCTGCGTAAATAAATATTTTATTATTGTTGTTCTAGATCTCTAAAGTGTCCTGCGTAAATAAATATTTTATTATTGTTGTTCTAGATCTCTAAAGTGTCCTGCGTAAATAAATATTTTATTATTGTTGTTGTAGATCTCTAGAGTGTCCTGCGTAAATAAATATTTTATTATTGTTGTTCTAGATTTCTAAAGTGTCCTGCGTAAATACATATTTTATTATTGTTGTTGTAGATCTCTAAAGTGTCCTGCGTAAAGTTTGTCCCTTATGAAGAAGACATTCATAGGTTTGATTATTAAAAAAAGGAAAAAATTTAAATAATTTTAAAATGATTGTTTTGTTTTGTTTCAGCCAGTTTGTGAGATTTCAGACTAGTGCTGATGGATGCTGGACCAAGGTGCAGGGAGATTCTGCAAACATGTGACTTAAAGATCGTCATTTAACTACGCAGCATTAAATTATTTTGACCAAATTTTTCAAATTCTTCATTATGTTTAGTAATTTTTTTGGGGTTAAACCACAGAACCCTGAAAAATATACAGAGATTTCCAGCTATCAGTTTTCGTGGATAATTAACGATCTACGACGAGATTGAAATCGTCCTTGTATTCTCATGTTTATTGAGAGTCGAGACTCCTCTAACGAAAATATTTTTATGAAAAATAAAAAAAAAATTATTTTTTGAAAAAAATAAAAAATAAAATAAAAATAATTTGTTTGAAAAATAATACTTTTTTGTTGTTGAGACTGTTGGAAGGCCGATGAATGGTCCCTCTGTTGTTAATATTGGAGACGGATGTGGAAGCGGGAAAAAAATTCTTCACGAGGTGAAAAATTATTTTTTTTTCTTCATGAATCAGAGACCAAATTTAATGAGTTTCAAAAGGTACATCACTGAACTTCCTATCGCCGGTTCAAATGCTAAATCACCGATTCAAATCCTCATGAATCTTTAATTGTTAATCGGTCTCTTGAATATACGTTGACAGTGGATCAAATAGATTTTCTTAAACTATTTGGAACCAGAAATTGTTAAACATTACATTTAGGTTTTACACTCGGTGGGAATGTTTCACACACATCAGAGACACGACAGGAGCATTTTTAAAAATTCAATCGATCAATCAATCAATCAATTAGTCCTAAAAGAATTGACGTCTAAAACTCCCTGGGGGGGGGGGTGAGGGGTTTCTTGGGGGATTTTTTCAAGCCCGGCTTTCATATATCTATGCAGTTAGGCGTTGTTCCATTACTAAATTTATACTGTTATTAATTTTCACCCAAAATCACTGAAATAAGAAGAAAGTAAAACTGATGCGCAGTGCTACAGTTACGACATTTTTGCTCTTTTCAATAGCTTTTCAATAGCTTTTCATAATTTTTCAATAACTTTTCAATAGCTTTTCATAGCTTTTTAATAGCTTTTCAATAGCTTTTTAATAGCTTTTCATAGCTCGTCAATAGCTTTCCAATAGCTTTTCAATTGCTTTTCATAGCTTTCCAATAAGAGGAGAGTTATGATTGAAAACATATTAGATTTTCATCTCATGTGGAATTTACTTTTGTTTAATATTTACAGCAGTCGATCAGGTAATAAAGTACTTTCTTGTTTCAAGCGCTATTTGGTGCATGAAAGCACTTATCAGAAGAAAATTATCTTTAATTTCTAATTCAGGATGTCTTTAGTAACAGTACAAAACTTGGATATATTAATAAAGAGAAATGTATTCAGAGCTGGGAACTTTAGAATGGATAAACTTTAATCCTGACTTCTTGATCCGAATATCCACTGTGGAAACTTTTCATTTTTGTCCTAATCCACTCTTTTTCTCTCTCCTTGGATATACATTATTTGTTTTCTCCAGTGAGAATATTTCTGTTCTCTTGTTGGTTGCCCACTTTTCTCTAATTGGCTGCTACAGTTTCTCAGATGATTAAATATTAATTTGAATTTTATCGTTTTTCATACACTTTTAAGATAATCTTGCAAGATTATGTTAATCTGGAGATTAAGAAAAAGAGTGGATTAAGCCTTAATCCCGATATCCACCATTCAAAAGTTCCCAGCTCAGAGCTGGGAACTTTAGAATGGATAAACTTTAATCCTGACTTCTTGATCCTAATATCCACTGTGGAAACTTTTCATTTTTGTCCTAATCCACTCTTTTTCTCTCTCCTTGGATATCCGTAAATTGTTTTCTCCAATGAGAATACTTCTGTTCTCTCATTGGTTGCCCGCTTTTTTCTGATTGGCTGCTACAGTTTCTCAGATGATTAAATATTAATTTGAATTTTATCGTTTTTCATACACTTTTAAGATAAGCTTGCAAGATTATGTTAATCTTGAGATTATCAAAAAGAGAGGATCAAGCATTAATTCCGATATCCACCATTCTAAAGTTTTCAGCTCAGTTTAATTACTTTTGAATGGTTGATTATTCTTTACACGCATATTTTTATAATAGTTAGGGAGAGAAGGTTTTGACAACATAAAGGTTTTAAAAAGGTTAAATCGGGATTTTGAATACAAAGGAAAAAAATAATAATTCAATTTAAAATATTTTTAAATTTTATCTAAAATTAAACCCAACGAAGTGGGATGAAATTTAATAATAAATATTATATTAATTTTCTGAGAACACAATTTTAAAAACAAAATAGAATATGTCGAGATAAAATTATGGAAAAAATCAAAGTCATTAGATTTAATAAACTTTTCCTCGGTATAGATATATTAGACCTTTAACTAGCTAGAGCAAGTTGTAAAGTACAATTTACCAGCTAGAGCAAGTTGTGCAGTACCTTTTACCAGCTAGAGCAAGTTGTACAGTACCTTTTACCAGCTAGAGCAAGTTGTACAGTACCTTTTACCAGCTAGAGCAAGTTGTAAGGGGGGTTAGGCCCCTTTTTAAAAAATCTACTGTTTAATTGAAAAAAGCAACTTAATAAACAGCTTTTGAAACAAAATGATAAAAAATCATTTTCTGAATCAGGTGAAAGTTGTTTTAAAAAATGTTTGTGAAGAGATGACTATATTGTGGTGAATACATCTAATATTAGTCCAGGCAATGCTGCTGGGTTCAAACAACTTACTAAAACACAGGTTAAAAAAGAAATATTTTTCATTGATATACACTGCGTGAGTCAAAAAAGAGTGGTCTGCTTCCAAACAAATAAAAAAAAATTCTAAAATTTGATATTTTTCAAGCTTGTTTAAAAATATTTTTTATTTTTTGCAACTTGCAAAAAAACATTAGAAGTACTAAAATTATTTCTATCAAATCCTAAAATTTTTGAAAATCAGGTTGACCAATTAAGATTTCACGATTATTTTAAACATTCTCCATACCTTTGAAGGTATTTTACTGATCTAATTCTATTATTCTATTCATTGTTAGCCTTGCTAAGAAAGAAAAAGTTTGAGATGTACAAAACGAAAATAATCATAATTTCTTTGGACTCACCCTAAAACTATATAATTGTGGTATAATCGCCTTCTTAAAGGAATTTTAAAATATTTTAGTTTAAAGATTTCCCCAATCTTATGTGTTGGTCGTCTTCCGTTGTTTTCCAACATGTTTTGTGTTCTAAACTGCACAGAACAGAAATAAACAAATCAATTTTTTGAAAAATTTTTTGAAATGTTTAGCTTTTCTTTTACCGACAAATGATGCGACTTTAACGACGACCTGACACCCTTTAAATATGAATATTGAATGTTTTAGGCTTTTACGTTAAAGCGTCTATTTAATAAGTTGGTAAATACAGACATGTAAAGATTGATGGAGAAATAAGACTTATCTAATTCCGTACAGTCGCCTCTGAAGACTCATCTTTTGAGGGTAACCCTGTAGATTGAATTTCAAAATGTCCGAATTTTAGTTCCCCGATCTCGGAGTGGCGTATGACTGTCGGAGTATAATGCATTATCCAAAAAAGTTCTTTTCCGTCAATCAAGAAAACACCATTGATGCCAAGGTAAATAAAGAGAATACCATTGATGCCAAGGTAAATAAAGAGAATACCATTGATGTCAAGGTAAATAAACATAACACCATTGATGTCAAGGTAAATAAAGAGAACACCATTGATGCCAAGGTAAATAAAGAGAACACCATTGATGCCAAGGTAAATCAAGAGAATACCATTGATGCCAAGGTAAACAAAGGGACCGTTCATTTTTGGGAAGGTATAACCACACTCACAGAGGGTAAATGACTTTTCATCATATTTTCTTGCTGTGTAAAAAAAGTAAATTCGCCGTCCGCCGTGAAGATTAGATTTTCAACTTTTTAATACTGTGGTCTGCGATTATATCAATACAATAAAGAAGACTTTTTATAAATAATGCATAGATCCCTAACGAGAATTTTTCAAATAGCAAGTTTACAAGTAAACACAAAGAAGCTTTAATTGACAAGTGCTCTTTGTTTACATTTTTATATGTCTCTTCTGTTGGAAATCAACTTTAAGAAATCAAAATAGGAAATCGTCTTTATTGTGTTGATATAAACGAGGATGACTGTAAAAAATAAAGAATAAACTATTTCGTAATTTAATCTGCATTGCTTTAATTAAAAAAAAGAAGAAGAAAAGAAAATACAGCTGAAAGTCTTATTTATTATCTATGACATGATGGAAGTCATAGATTAACAACAACTCAGATAGAACACTAGATGTCGTCTTTTTAAGTATTAAGGGGTTTTCGTTCACAATACTTCTGAGGCAGAGGCCCAAAGGAGTTTATAGCAGTCTATCTCTGTCTTGTAATTCAACACTACATGCGCGGAAATCCTTTTGGCTTTTGCCTTAGGTATATTGTGAACGAAAATACGATATCTAGTGTTCTATCTGTGTTGTTATTAATCTATGATTGAAGTAGATACATCATGAGAAATAACAATTAAGATTGACCGTAGATTTTCCTCTTTTTATTTTGGTGGATTTTTTTGTCTCCACTTTAAAGTCGTTACTCGTTACCATCTTTTAGGAGGGGGAAACTGCACTTCTACGGGTCCTGAAATTTTTAGAATGCAATGACTTATAATTTTTATTTTAGGACGGCGGGAAAAGAATAACTAAAAAATATATATATATAAGGATGTAAAAACTGTACTACTTTGGGCCCTGAAAAGGCTAAGATGTCTTAAAATATATATTTTAGGATGGTGGAAACTGCACAACTGTGGGCCCTGAAAATGCCAAAATGACTGAAAATGATATTTTATGGCTAAACCTGTTCTACCAGTGCCCTAAAGTTTAAAATCTTTAAAGAATATTTAATTACAATTGGCATAAATTTGTTCTTATTTGTTTAAATCAATAAATACTTTCTAAATTATTATAATAACATAACTTTTCCCGACCCACTTCTCGAAACCAAAATATTGAAGGTATTTTGCGTTCTAGTTTTCTTTGTTTTACAGATCTAGGCTCACAGTGCACAGTGAACACAGTCTTGAGTTAAATATATTTGTTTATTGAGTTAAATAAATACCGTTCTAAAATCAGACCTGATCTCGGAATCTTGGAAAAAGCTTGCAATTGCTTTCAAGTGAAAATGGTTAAATATAAACATTAAACAAAACATTCATCAACAGAAACTAGAAAAAATATTGGCAAAGTTTATCCTTTTTCAAGAACTAGACAAACGGAAAGGGTAAAATCTCCGCAACATTACTGACCTACGTCTAATTGTGACCTCTAGTTTAAATTTGTTTTAAGTATGAAGTAAATTTATTAAATTTAAAACATTTTTGTTTTTATCAAAAGTTCTTCAATAAGAGGAGCTTTGACTGAAGACATATAAAATTTCAATCTTACGTCACTACGTCACAACTTTAGTTTGAAGTGAAAGGAGTAAGTTGGGTGCATAATTATAAAGGGTCAACTGAAACTACGTAGACAGTCCCTTTAATTCTTAAATAATATGGACAAAACGTCTAGCAAATACTATTCTACAAACTAGTTGTATATAATTGTATGTATACAAACAGATTTAATAATGAAGACGACATTTTGAAGAAATCTGCTAATAAAATTATTGAAACAGGAAAGTTAATGTTGATAATGAAATAAAGGATTCTACGGTTCTACTATGGCTTTCATCAATAATTTCTTAAAAGAAATATGGTCCTAATCAGCATATTAGTTTATATAATATTTTTTTTATGTTTTGTCCGGGTTATTAAAGGGAGTGTTTGCGAAAAATGAAAGGGGGTATAGGCTTAATGCGATAAAAAAGCGCTTTTGATCGCTACTAATCTTACTTCTATCTGTTGCGTCTATAAGGAGAGAATTGTAAAAGACGTCTCATACCGAATAACTAAGCGGCCATACAAATTGAGAAAATTGCAACATACGACTTAGACCATAAAAAATCAATTTATTTGCAAACAAATCATTTAGATATTACATCCTATAGTCATAGTCATAATATTTTATTTTTTAGAAAACGTTTTTAACGAATTTCGAAAATTGTGAGTGGTGCGCGGCATTCTTAGATAGTTGCGCAAGCGACAAGAGAAATAAACAAATTCAAAACAAATTAATTAAAAAATATTATAAAATATAAACTATATACAAATGTGGCGAAAGGTAATCGATGACTATTGTTTGTAATATCTAAATGATTTGTTTGAAATTAAATTGATTTTTTACGGTCTAAGTCATATGTTGCATCTTTCTGAATTTGTATGGCCGCTAAGTTATTCGGTATGAGACGTTTTTAACAATTTTCTCCTTTTAGACGCAACAGATAGAAGTAAGATTAGTAGCGATCAAAAGCGCTTTTTTATCGCATTAAGCCTATACCCCCTTTCATTTTTCGCGAACACTCCCTTTAAATAATTGTAAAAAACGTTTTTTTCTGCTGACTGAAACAAATGGCGAAATATTACAAACGACTTTACGCTATTATTTAAAAATTGAACACTGTAAAAATATCTTTTTTGTATAAAATTAATCCTATTGTTCAGCTGAGCTATACATGTCTAGCCAGTCACTCCCTTTATGTCTTGAAGTTCTCTGACCGTAAAACTGTTTTTCCGTCCTAATCTAAACAAAGTCTTGTTTCTTAAACTGAATATATAACTTTGAGGGAAAAAACAGGATTAAGTATTTTGTTGCATTTTTAGCCTCGACAGTGACAGCCTGGCAATGTGCATTAGTGAACATTTAAAAACGAATATTACATTAAAAAAAATTTCGCAATCCCCCCCCCCCCCCCTCCTTAAAAATGTTAAAATATAGTAAGGTCATTTTATATGTCTGCATGTACTCCTTCTTGTAAGATTTGTATATATATAATTTCTTTACTGTAATATCGGTTTTCATGTCCTCCCACCTTTGATACCTATCTGTATGTACCCAACCTGTCATATCTGTCCACATTTATAATAATAAATAATATCTATAAACTTTTACTCCTACTTGTAAGATCTGTATACATATGTAAACAAACCTTTGAGAAGTGTCCAAACGTACGTCTACCTGTGAAATGTGTCTGTATGTTCTCCTACCTGTGAGACCTGTGAACAAGCAACTGATCATTAATTAATGTAGAATCCTAGGAATCCCACAGACATTAACTGTCCCCACAATCTACATACATACACAGTCAATCCTACACTATTCTCATCATCCTCATCCTGTTCATGTAGTCACCCATTCATCCTCTTCATCCTCATCCTGTATATTGACCCATTTATCCTCTTCATCCTCATCCTGTATATTGACCCATTTATCCTCTTCATCCTCATCCTGTATATTGACCCATTTATCCTCTT